CTGACCTGATCTCCTCCAGTGCACTTTCTGGGAAACTCTTGCTCTCTTGCCCAGTCATTGTGACTGAACCTTTTTGTTCTCTCTTTTCCAGGGCTCCTCACTTCCCAAGTGCTTCCATCTTTACCCACAACCTGCCAACTCTGCAACCCTTTCAAAAAAGAGAGACTAGAGTAACTCCTTTTGTTTTCCCATTTCAGCCATCTTTTGTTTCTCAGCTTCCTCCATTTCAACCCGCAATTTTTCCAACTGTTTAGTCTTTCAAACTTTTCTAAAACAAAATATATGAAGAAAAGGAAAACATAGAAAATCCCCTCTGGGAGCAAAGCAAGGGATATACCATCAGTAGCAGCCACAATAAACTTTTTTGCTGTCTTCTTGAAAAAAACATATCCATTCCTTCTCCTCCTGCTGTTTCCTGTATGGCATTTGAAATCAAATTTCCCATTTTTATCCTTTACTTTGGAGCCCTGCATTGAGGTGTCGATTGTAGGTGGGCTTTGCTACTTTGTGGGTTCTTTCTCCCACCTTTTAGCTCCCCCTCCCTGGTTTCACCCCCTAACACTAGATAGGAGAGAGAAAAGTATGGAGGGTGAGAGAGAGAGAGAGAGAGAGAGAGAGAGAGAGAGAGATCCTTGAATGTAATTTTTTTTCTTCTTGTTTCTTCTTTGTTGCAGGTTGTCTTTGCTACTTTGTGGGTTCTTTATTCTACCTTTTATCCCCTGACCCGGAGAGAGATCCTTGAATTTAATCTTTTTGTTTCCTTTTTGAGCACAACTACTAACAAACTGCAACCACCAACAACCCCCACTTCCACCGCCCAACAGCCAACAACCACAATCTCACCTCTTGGGGACTTTGCATTTATTTATACGCCCTCTGAAAAGTTCCCAGAATTCCAAATGTCTCACAGGGGCAGAAATGATGTGCAGCTGGTAAAACCAAGATTCTGCTAGAGCACAGGGCAAATCACTGTTAGCTGCTGCAGTCTGAAGTAGTCTCACATGCCTACACCTGGGATTAACAGGGAAACACATTCTCTGCCTGGACAGATGGCTTAGCCGTTAAAAGCACTGTCTGCTTTTCCAAGAGGTCTGGAGTTCAATCCTAGTGGGGGCTCACTATGCCCGGATCTGATGCCCTCTTTTGGTAGGCATGTTTACGGGCAGATAGAGCACTCATGTACATAAACAAATTAATCTTTTTTTTTTCAAAGTTCATTCTTATATTTCTGTGTTTTTTAAAGAACCCAAAATTCCAGAATTCTCACTACAGATGACCCTTCAGATAGCAGAGAACACATTGCGTGGATGACGGACAAAGCTGTAGTTAGTACGTTACTCTGTAGGAGCAATGGCTTTGTCTCATTAACTGCCATACCCTCACCACGCAGAATAACAGACTAAGTGCCTGGCTGAGTGTGGTGTAAGACTTTCAACAGCAAACACAGATCTATAGTGTGTGCTTTATCACGTGTTCAGTGACTCAAGAGAGTCAGCAAAAGCTGAAGATGATGGGATCAGAATATAAACAAGCTGAATTTGGAGCTAAAATTGTGAAACTGTTGGAATATTAGGAGAAGTCTTACAGTTATTCACTATATGTATCAAACATATTTTTATCTTATGTTGTGTGTATGGGTGTTTTGCCTGCACACGTGTCTGTGTACCACTTGTGTGCCCAGTGCCTGAGGAGGCCAGAGGAGGGCGCAGATCCCTGGATTACAGAGGGCCATGAGCTACTATGACCATGTAGCTACAAGCTGCATTCTTTCTCTTAGCATAGCCCAGAAAATTTAAGATGTGTTATTTCATAATCCCAACAATAACCCTGTGACTTATATTCAGCGTTCTTGCTGTACCGCTGCTCAAACAAGGGCATAAATAATAAAATAGTAATTTGCACACACACAACAGTCACAGAAATGATAAGATTCACAGCCAAGATCTGAACCTAAGCACTTTAACTTAAGGTTATGTTATTTATGGACACAATACTAGGATGCAAACAATTGTTTGTTTAACCTTATGAGAATTAGGCATGCCTGTAATACCAGCAGGTAGATCTCTGTCAGTTCCAGGCCAGCCTGGTTTACAAAGCAAGTCCAGGACAGCCAGGGCTATTACACAGAGAAACCCTATCTGGAGAAACAAAACAACAACAACAAAAAACTAACAAGAGAATATGGTCCAGGTGTGATGACTCAGTATTAATATCAACACTTGGGAGACCTAGGCAGTAGGATTGCCACAAGTTCAAGGCCATGTTGGATTACAGAGTGAAACCTGGTTTACAGAAAGATGGCGCAGAAGGTCAAGGCACTTCCATGATGCCAGACAATCTAGTTCCATTCCTGGGAATCCTCCGTATCTGGGATCCATGTGCATAATAAATAAACAAATAAACGGAGGACTGTGGAGATGGCTCGTGTTGTTTGCTGTGCCAAGTGTGAGTGCATAAGACCTGATCTCCAGCCCTTGTCTAAAAAGTTGGGCATGCGTGCTGGGGAGGAGGGCTGCTCTGTCAGCCGCCTCTTCAGTCTCCAGGCTCATTGAGAGTGTAAAGACTAGGCAGAGAAGAACTTTGGAAGCGACCTGATGACTACAGGCGCATACGTGCACAGGCATAAAAATGGCACCTGTGTGTTTGTGAGCTCTGGGTGTGGTTTCTGAATCTGTCCTTTTTTATTTTCTTCCTACATATCTTTATGTGGCTATATTCTCCTTTTCAAAACAGAGTTTCTGTATGTAGCCCTGGTTGGCCTGGAACTCACTCTGTAGACCTGGCTGGCCTTGGACTCAGAAGTTCATTCACCTGCCTCTGTCTCCTGAGTCAGGCTGGAATTAAAGGCATACACCACCACGACCATCTCTCCATCATAACTTCTGATTTAACTTTAACTTTATATATTTTCAGTACTTCGTTTTGAACATGCTAAGTAGTACTCTACCATTTAGCTATATTCTCCAGTCCAACTTAAAAAAAATGAAGATTTTTTAGGCATTTAAATAATTGTGTTTTGTTTACATGTATGTATATGTACCACATGAATGCCTGGTGCTCAGGGAAGTCAGAGGGCTATGGATCCCCTGGAACTGTAGTTACAGATGGTTGTGAACCACCAAGTGGGTGCTGGGAACAGAACATGGGTGTTCTGGAAGATCAACAAATGCTTAACTGTTGAGCCATCTCTTCAGCCCTTATTTAAAGAAATCTGAAGCATCGTCATATCTAGGTTAACCTGGAACCTCAGCATCCCACTGCTGGGTTTACATTTGTGTACCACCAGGTCTTACAATTTTATTTTCATAGTGATTTCAAAAATGTGTTCTGCTGCCTCTGAAACTATCTCTGACTTTCCATTGCTTGTTGCTGTCTTGTCTACCTTTGGCAAGTTGCTTAATCTCTCTGACCCTGTTCCTTAAGTCACATGGGTTTAAATTTCTTTTCTTCTTTTTTTAGTATTTATTTATTTTTATGTATATGAACAGTTTTTTTTCATGCACAGCAGAAGAGGGACTCAGAGTCCATTACAGATGGTTGTGAGCCACCATATTGGTGCTGGGAATTGAACTCAGGTCCATCTGGAAGAGCAGCCAGTGATGTTAACCGCTGAGCCATCTCTCCAGCCCTCTTTTTCAGTTTTTTTGAGACAGCGTTTTTTTTGTTTTTTGTTTTTTCCTGTATGGGTGTCTTGGAACTTGCTCTGTAGACCTGGCTGGCCTTGAACTCACAGAGATCCTCCTGCCTCTGCTTCCTGTGCTGGAATTAAAGGCAGGCTGCATGAGCCACCACTGTCCAGCTGGGTTTAAATTTCAGCTCCGCCACAGGTGTAACTTTGTCTTTTGATCTACACTTCATTTTCCTCATCTGTAAGAGGATGACCAGTCTCACCTCCCAGAGAGTAAGAATTAACCTACATCTCCCAGCAGTGGCCCTCACAGTCTCTTGCTGCCCAAAAGTTATTTTTCCTTCAATGTGTTTATTTTTGTGATAATTAGTTCTCATCTCTAAGGTGTTCAGAAAGGATACTTAGGTGAAATGCTCTAGAAACGTTGAATGTAGGCGGGACTAACTGCTTTGAGGAAGTAGGAGGTAGCCTGGCTAGCAAGAGAAGATAGGCCTTGAGTTGGCTAGTGCAATCGGGTGGGGTGGGAAGCTGTTTCCTCACTGTGAACAAAAAAAGAGACCAGATCCCGGAAAAGACGCTATGAACACGGTAATTTATCAGTAAATTTAGCTAATTGCTTTTCTTTCTTCTTCTTTCTGCTCTTATGGTCCAGTCAAGAAAGGACTGACCTAAGTAAATTAACACTAGGAACCCCAGGCCGTTGGCAGAACGAGGCAAGCCACACCCCAAAGAGACAACAGGGCCCAAGCCCCTAAAGCTAATTCTGTCCTTAAATTCATGGATTCTGTCGCGATGAAACACCACCCACCCAAACGCAGAGCCCAGCGCTGTTCCCAGTCTCCATCTTTAGACGTGAAAGAACGAGAGCTTGCCAAAGGAGAATCCCGGTTTCGAGAGACTAGGTGGTACGGCGGCTGCCTGGGGACCAAAACGTCTCCAAGGTAAAGTTGCAGCCTGAAGCGATTTTTTGACCCCCGACACTTAATGGGCTATCGAAGACCCGGATGTGTCTGGGACTGGCCGAGGTACCCATTAACGCGCCCCCGCTAGACCATCCCCCTTCTCCATTTATGATTGGGCCCTCTTGACGCCAATCACTACTTCTCCAGCCACCCACTCCTCAAGGGTGGGGTGAAGTCCCGGCATCCCGCTTTCTATTGGCAGGAGCAAGACCAGGAGGGCGGGCAGCCGGCTGAGGTCCTCCAATGGACGTCGTGGCGTGTGGTTAAGGCGGAGTCGAGGCGCTTGGCAGCTGCCCAATCAGCGTCCTTGTTTGTGTGGTGCCGCCGCCGCCGGTGCAGCCGCCGCCGCCGCCGCTGCCCGTCTGTACCGCAGTGTCTGCTCCGCCCGCCCGCCCTCCCCGACCCGGCCCGCCCCCTCCCCCCCCTCCGCTCCCGGACCCGCCGGTGGGGTCTGGATCCCACTGTGCCGTCGCCGCCTCCTTTTTCGACGCCTTCGCCGCCGCCTGAGGAGGCGACCCAGTCGGGAGTTCCGCCGCCGCTGCCAGGTGAGGAGCTCTGGCCTAGGCCGGCCCGGCCGCCAGCCCGCCCGGGGGCGGCGAGCGGCGACGGAGGGAGCGAGGCTGCGAGGAGGCGGCGGTGGGGGAAGGGAAAGGTGGAGGGCGGGGGGAGGGGAAGCGCCCGCGAGCCGACGCCCGCCCGCGCGCCCCCGCCTGGCGTCCCCTCCCCCAGCCCGGCCCGCGCGCCCCCGCCTCGCGCTCCCCTTCACCTCTTCCCCACCCCCTCCGCGCGCGCGCCCGGGTCTTTTACTTAGGCCTCGCGCGACCCGGCTGCTGTCCCTTCGTGTCTTCTCCTTTTACTCTCTCTCCCCTCCCTCGCTCCCCGGTTCCCTCGCCATCCCCCTCTTCGCTCAGTACCTCATGCCCGCCATGCTCCCCTCTTTTCCTCCCCTCCGCGTTTTTAACTCTCCGCCCCCAGTGGTGCCCTCGGGGTGCGGGGGCCGCTCCCTGCACCGAGTCTTGTGTTTGACGGCGGATAGGACGAAAGGCTATACTTAAGGGTGGAGGAAGCACTGAATAATTATCTTTATTCGGGGGAAAGGATCAGAAGTGCAGAACCATACCCCTTTATTCCGTCGTCCACCGCTTCCTTGCCCTCCGTAAGAAAAGGGAATTGTCTTGACTTGTGTGGGTTACTTACCTTGTGTACAGCAACGAAACCACCCATTTTCTCAGCTGGGCTTCTGGGACACGCTGCATCTCTTTCCCAGTTCAGCTCCTGATGGAACTAGAACTTACCTTTCCCGAGCAAAGCAGCACTTAAGAGTACTTTCTGCCTCCTTGGGCTCAGTTACCTGCAGGAGCTAGTTACTCCTGTGAATGCAGATTTAGGTGTTACTTGCAGTCCCGGGATAGCTTTCCGGCTTTATAAAGGTATGGTACCCTCTTTGAGTTCATCCCCAGCACTACACTCCCCCAGACATAGATGTTCGTTCCTAAGAACTGGCCCTGAGGTGGAGGTGGAGGCATTGCTGGTGGGCAGCATGTGGGTGCTGAAGTTCCCTGTTCTGTTCTGGAGAGTAAGAGAGCTTCCTGAGAACCAGTGTTCTCATCTGGCAAGTGATAACTTGAAGGGTTCTCGAGTGTGTGTGTGTGTGTGTGTGTGTGTGTGTGTGTGTTAGAGATGGGAATAATATAAATTAAATAATCTATTTTAGCAAAGAGAGGCAATGTTTTTCATGCCGGTGTGCAGCGAAAGATTTGAAATAGTGCTTGAAGCTGGAGTAAAAGTAGGTTTTATCTGTATGACTTGGAGAAGAGCTGATGCTTTTGTAGTGTTTGGGCATATTTCCCTTTCCAGAAATTTATATAATTTAAATAAACAATGGATGAATGTGATACAAAGTGAGAAGAAATCTTCCCCCCTCCAACCATCATGTCCCTCCTACACTGCTACTGTTTCGTTGGCATCTGTGTAGTGTCTGTATGTTGTTGGATATTACCCTGTTTGAGAGAGTTGAGTGATTTCTGTATTGCTTTTTCTTTGATACAAGGACGTAAATTCTTCCCTGAAGTCTGATAAGCCCTTTGATTTGTATTTTGGGGCAGGAGAAGTTTTGGTAAGAATTGTCCTAGAAGGGGGTTGGAGAGATGGCTTAGGGTTTAAGAGCACTGACTGCTCTTCCAGGTGGACCCAGGTTCAATTCTCAGCACCCACATGGCTATCTGTAATTCCAGTTCCAGAGGATCTGGCTGTGGGAGCAGGGAACAGAGAGAGAATATTGTTCTAGGGTAGTAACAGTTGTGCGTGCGTGATTGGTAAGGAGACAGCTTCTGGTGCTATTAAAAATAGTGGTGTAGAGAGCCTAAGCTCATTTTGAGGGCAGGAAGATCTATCAGTGGGAAATGTAGTTGTTAGTCCACTCCAGATGCAGGGCTGTGTCAGGCACAGCCTTTCCTTGGGCTTTTTAAGAAGATAGGTTTATGAATGTTTATGGTGAGTATTGGTCGGGTATGACTGATGATAGACCTTTCAGTCTGGGAGCAGTGAAAGTTATCATGGAAAGAGGTAATTAAGTATTAACCGGAATCAGAAGGCTGGACCTGTAGTTTGAATGACCTAGTTTAAGAAGAGATGAGGTTTATAGACTTTTATGCTACCTATTCTTTAGTTGAGAACATTTTTAATGAGGTGAGAGTGGTTTGTGCTTGACAGCAGCATCCATCTTTATGGCACTGTGGCTTGCTTCCCCTGACTATGTCGTGTCTGTTAACTTCCTGTTTAGATATAGTCTCAGCAGATTAAATGCTTGCCTAGAAACAAGGTTACTGTGGTTCCCTGATCAGCCCTTTAAATGTAAGTCCTGGAAGTAACTTAAACTGTGTTTAGCATAGGGTCACAGGGAGAGGAATTTTTTTGGACCCTCATAGCTCTAAAGAACTTTCTGAGGTCTGCATTCCCTGGGCTTATGACTGTAATCCCAAGACTTGGGAAATTTAAGAGAGAATTCTGAATTTGAGGTAGCTTGGACTACATGGTGTGTTCAGGATTAGCTAGTGAATTAAGACCCTTTCTCAACAACAACTAAAACCCCAAACAAACAAAAACTGGTGCAGGCTTTTCATCCTGAGCAGAGGATCAGGAATTCAAGGTCATCTTCTGCTTCATGTCAAGTTAGAGACTTTGAGCACCACCTTCACAGGCCTTTAATCCCAGCACTAGCAAGGCAGAGACAGGTGGATTTCTGGGTTGGAGGCCAGCTTGGTCTATAGAGTGAGTTCCAGAACAGCCAAGGTTACATAGAGAAACCCTGTCTTGAAGAAAGAAAAAAAAAAAATCAAAAAAAAGGAGAGAAGCAAGGTTGAAGAGATGTCATTGTACCCAGAAAGGTATTTAATCAGATCCTAATATCTTAGAATTCCCTCCTCCTCGTTTTTCCGAGACAGAGTTTCTCTATGTAGCTCTAGCTGTCCGTGAACTGGCTCTGTAGCCCATTCTGGTTTAGAACTCACATCCATCCGCCCCTGCCTCCTGAATGCCGGGAGTAAAGTTGTGTGTGCCACCACTCCTGGCTCTCCTTGTTTTAAGCCGTGAGCTACATATGTTGTTGTCAAGCAGACCTCTCACCTCAGTTTAACCAGTTGCTTTCCTTCTCAGTCCTCAAGCTGTGTAGGGAAACAACAGTGTGCTGTGCTGTTTCTAGACTCTGGAGTGTATTCTGTGTTAGCCACCCTATTAGGAGACATGTTAACAAGCAGCCATTCTGCACTTAGCTTAGGAGGCTCATGTTGCTCAGCTTATTGAGAAAAGCCAAAACAGATTTAGTTTATGAAAACAACTGCTAGGGAAATCATAAAATTGATCCATAAGTGGGTTCAAGGGACTTTGTTTCCCAGACCTTTTTAGGATTTACAGCCCAGTGTCCTTAGATGTCAGCATCAGTACCAGGCATCTTCTGAGGCACACTGAAAGGAAAGGGAAATAAAAGATATACCCCTGGATTGACTCCAACTCTAATTCTAGCATAAAACTGCCCACTTATTTTACTGCTTCTGAAAAATCCCACCAACGTGAAGCCACACAGTTGCAGATGGATTGATTTTGGCTAGACATGGAAAAAGAATGGCTTTTCGGGGGAGAAGTATCTATTCTTGTTTATATTCAGTGATCTGAAGGTTTTTCTATAAAGTGTTTGGGGACTTGTGCTAACTTCAATTGGTGAAGCAGGGTCCTTCAGTGTTACAGTGACAGAAGCCTCCGCAGGTAGGTCTAGATTTGAAGAGGGCCTCTCCTCATGGTTTATCTTTTACTTTCCCTTTAGTAGATTTATAAAATGCTTCAATGCAACCTGAGTCCATAACATAAGAGGAATGACATTGTCAGTAAGGCTTAACAAGTTGGCGCTGTGATGTGTAATGTTTCTCACAGAATCCCTTAAAGTTGTCACTGCCTTGAATTGCCTACAACTGGCCAGAAACTATGAAGAGTTTGGGATTATAGCAGCAAGAGCAACAGATGCATACTTTGTTTTGTTGGTTTGGTTTGGTTTCTTTTGTGAGACAGGGTCTGGCCTGGAGCTCACTACGCATACTAGGCTGGCCTAGCGCTCTTAGGGATTGGCCTGTATCTGCCTCCTGAGTGCTGGGATTAAAAGCCTATGCCACCATGCCTGGGTAGTTTGTTTCTTTTGAGGAATGAAAAGTTCAAAGCTCAGATAAAAGAGCCATAGTAATTGCACAGCTTTGATATGTGAGCTTATTTGAGACAGTTTCTTCCTATAGCTGTGCTGGTCTTCAACTCCCAGTGTGACCCTGCTGCTTTAGCCTTCCAATTGTTAAGACTACAGGTGTGTGCCAGCCCACCTGTGTAGTTGCTTATTTTTATTTACTTATGTAGTGGTTTGTTTTGTTTTTGTTTTGTTTTGAGTTAGGCTCTTGCTGGGTTGAGGGTTGAGACTCATGCTCTCAACTCCTGGGATTACAGGTGTTCATGCCTGCACCCATCTTTGATTTTAATTAATTAATGTAGTAGTAAATAATACTACTTGAGACAGGGTCTCATTATGCCTGGAACTCAATGTGTAGACCAGGCTGGCCTCAGAGTCATAGAGGTCTGTCTACCTTTGCTTCCCGAGTGCTGGGCTAAAAGGTGTCCACTACTGTGCCTCCCAATTTATTACTTTTATAATGGTTATCATCATCATCATCATTGTTGGACTGCTAAAGAAATGAAGCAAAGTGTTAAATCCTGAAACTTTCTCTTATTGTGTATTACACCTGACTGATAGATATGTTTAGATATTTTATGTTACCATTACCTGAGCCTGATTAAAACTTTGTTGATTTTTCTTTATCTGGACTGTGTACAGGAGAGTTAAATTTATAGTCTTCCAAAATATGGATTGGGGGACATACGGAAAATTTATTTTAGGCATCAGAAATAATACATTCCTAGTGTAATTGTAAGGGATTGCAAGTGTAACTGGAGGGCTTACATTATCTACAGTGAGCTTTTTGAGTACTCTAGATCTTAAAGTATGGAAGAGACT